CTTTTTCAAAAAACTGTTCATGTGGGCTAAAGGCCCCGAACATGGGAAACTTCGTGTTTTTACTAACGAGTTTCCTCCATATCAACACTGGTGATGTACATTGGTGATGTGAAGTGAGACATAATTCGCGAATGCAATTGAATGTAATGTTGTAATTTCACGGCATGAAGCATGCATGTGCAGTATTCCTCTAATGAACATAACAATCGTGAGTTTATAGATTTTTAGCCAAGTTTGGCCATTAGGTTATTGGATAGTTTAATGTAATCAACAAACTCAAATTCAAATGTATCTAACATAGAGAACAATATTTCAAAAAAACAGTCAGTCTTTTTGTGTGAAGTTTGCAAAGGGCTTAGAAGGGCTTAGAGCAATTTTTACCAAGTTTCTGACGTTAGTTTTGACGTTTTGTACTAGCTATATAAAGTATAACCTGCATGTAATGCATGGATGTTTCTGCAGGACAAGATATTTGTCAGACATATGATTGCAGTGTACCATTCGCTGGATAAAGGATCAGACTATTGACAGTATTTGAAAGTGTAAAAAAATTACCGCTTGTATCATTGTGCTGGATTTGTGCATCTAAGATATAGCGAATTTACTTTCAGTGGTGGATACTTGAGAAATATTGGGAGAAGAACGAATTACATGGTGTCCCCCCAAAAATGCCCCTTACTATATACTTGATGGTATTACAACGTTAACTTTAATACGTAGAAGTTTCAGACGGGATGAAATAACTATCCCTCACGTGACGTGTCACAGTGTGACTAGAACGTATTATTATGGCTTGGAAATATTGAAACGTGCACGAAGGTACATCAAATCTGAATCGATTATTTTATGAACGGAAAGCTTTCTTGCTTCCTCTGCCTTTATTGAGATCAGGGAAAGCGCATCTTATCTGCCTTGTGCAATAGGTGACCTAAGATAAGTCTTAATTATTTTCAATTTACTCAACGACTCTGCTGTAGCAACTGCTACAGGTTGCAAAGCAAAACAATTACTGAATATGATGTGATGTGATCAACTGATCTATTTGAAGGAGTTTGAAAATGTCGATTCCACTCTTTAATTTTTTCCAATTATTATAAGTCATTCCGAGCAATTCTTCCTTGGAACAGAATCTATATGACAAAATGTTTTGAGTCAAATCATTAGCATAGGGGTATCAAACTCGGAACACAAGTCAAACTTGTAAGTATAAATCAGATTAATGGCAGCACAACAGACTTCACTAGCTGTCATCTTCAATATGCATGCTCTTTGGTGCCAAAAAATTGAATGTCTTGGGAACAAAAGTCCGACCCTTGAACCGTTCTTCTAGTTGCGATGTAGCCGTGCCGATAAATTTAAAGAATACTTCAACACGGAATTTCTTCAGCTCCGGATCAGCGATGGGTTCATCTCTTGCTTCCTCGTCAAAAAAATCTACGAACTTTTATTGTTCTCTTTTCAATAAAAGGGGATACAAGAATGCCAACTTTAAGAACAAACACTGTAGATTCGCTTAGAATTTCATTTCATTCGCCTCTCATCTCTCTAACATTATTCAACGCTCTCCCCAATTCACTTTTAATTCCTAGATCCATGTCCACTGCATAAAAATCTCAGCTGGATGCTAAATTTTATTGAAGAAAGGATTCTTTCCCATGCAAGTGCTCAGCAAAATAACGAATTCCATAATGCTTATATGTTTAAATAGATTTTGGGCCTCTTGCTTTTCTTTATTTTTATATAGAATCTTTGATGTATCCTTAATATTCATAAGCTGAATGATATCACCATGCAAACATTTTCTTAGTTGCCCTGATTGTATCAATTCGCGAAGCCCAGCAAGTTGTACAAAGTCTTTTCAGGGTCAACTATCTATCTTCTACCGCAGTGGTTATGCAGCCCAGCTGCTGGCCCATCTTGAAATCAACTGATCGGTTGATGATTCTATTGAAAAAGCTGTATAGTTCTGACAAGTTTGATACCCCTATGCTAATGATTTGACTCAAAACATTTTGTCGTATAGATTCTGTTCCAAGGAAGAATTGTTCGGGATGACCTATAATAATTGGAAAAAATTAAAGAGTGGAATCGACATTTTCAAACTCCTTCAAATAGATGATATTGATCATATCATATTCAGCAATTGTTTTGTTTTGCAACCTGTAGCAGTTAATACAGCAGAGTCGTTGAGTAAATTGAAAATAATTAAGACTTAGGTCATTCCCTGATGAATGGAAAATGGCTAGAGTAATACCTCTATACAAAAATGGCCAACGTAATGTGGCAGGAAATTACAGACCAATTTCTGTCCTGCCAGCCATTACATTAGCAAAATTATGGAAAAAATTCTGTATAATCAACTGTACAGTTACTTATCCAAATTTAGACTTTTAAGTGATAGCCAATTTGGTTTTCAAAAATTTCATTCTACGGCTACTGCATTATTAGATTGTACAAATGACTGGTATGTGAATTTAGACAGAAAAATGTTTAACCTGGTTGTTCTAATTGACTTAAAAAAAGCATTCGATACAGTCGACCATCAAATTTTATTAAGGAAATTGGAGCTGTACGGTATAAAAGGCCAGGCACTATCTTTTCTCAATTCATATCTCTCAAATCGAAGTCAGAAATGCCAAATAAATGGATTTTTGTCATCGGAGAATCTGATTAGATGTGGTGTGCCACAGCTCTATTTTAGGGCCATTATTCTTTTTATTGTACATCAATGATTTTCTCCAATGTCTATCAAAAACAAAACCTCTGTTATTTGCTGATGACACAAACCTGACAGCTTCTGGCGACTCGATAACTCGTCTTGACGCTGCAGTGAATTCTGATTTAGAAAACCTATGAATGTGCACGTTTCAATATTTCCAAGCCCATGATCATACGTTCTAGTCACACTGTGACACGTCACGTGAGGGGTGAATACATTTCCGTTTCCGACGGTAAACGCCTCTTTCAAACGTAAAAAAACGCGCGAAAATGTTTGCGGTTTGTGTTTGAATGCAAATAGCTGTACGTACAGCGGCAAATATTTCATAGTTGTGTTTTTTGTATTTTCGGCTATATATTTATATTTCCAGTTTTAAGAAGCCCATTAAAAGGATGTAGGATGGCCCCCCCTTGGGGGCACCCCAGAGGAGGGTGGAAGCTCTTCCCAGCATGCATTGCAACTCATTAATATTCATAATCATGATTTTTCACAATGTTAGTTGGAAAAGTTGTGGATATTTATTTCGATATTTCGCCACGAAAAGTTCGTATTTTTGAAGGTACGTTTTTATAATTGTTTTAAATATGAGTCAAATTAACGATTTTTGCTTTATTTGGTGTTTTAACAACGTTTAGTTGTATGTTAATCGCAATTTGGATTGACCTGTTTTCCGGGTCAATGCACAAGTGTCAAAAGTGGCTTTCAAAACCGCTGGGGACAATTGGGTTTATAAATGAGTAAATTAAATAAAAGACACGCCTTCGTATTTAGGAAGAGTTGTTCTTTCTATGAGAAGTTTAAAAAATGAATTGTCCCCATCAAACTGACGAGTAATCGCGGTTTGAAAATGGGGCATTTTCGGTATACTATGTCGCCCATCGCGGGAATAATCGACCGCATGGGAATTATGGCGCGAGGAAAATTACTGTACGAGTCATTATTTTTGTTTTATTTCGAAGCATGTGCATATATGTCGATCGTTGTTGAGTTTCACTGCTGCATTTAAGTTAAGTACACTGTATTTTACCATTATTTTTATAGAATTCGAATATATTTTGTGAAAATGGAATCTGATGATGGCAATGTTGTTTATATTGTTGATCCTAAGTATGGGAAAAGTTGAACTTATGAATTTAATGCTGATTTAGAACTGTTATTGAGCAAACTGTTCCTACACCCTGCTTTGGCAAATGGTATAACATCTAATCCAGCCAAGTTGTGCTCATGATCCATTCAACTGATTCAAGCAATGAAACTATTGAACCAGAATAACAAGACGCCTGCTCAGGCGTTCACACTGGCCTGAAAATAACGAGATACGTGCTATGGTGCAAAAGGCAGGAATACAAATCTTAAACCGCAAGCAAATTTTATGGACTTTTTAAAAAAACCTTTTCGGGAGACGTAATGGAGATCGATGCACGTGCAAATCATGCCGACCTACAGAATCGATTTCCGGTTTTTCCTAACAGCGCGTTGTTTTCATGTGCGTTCCATGGGCCGCGCTAAAAATATAAATATTCTGTAAATACCGAAATAAAAGATGAGAATCTCAAGACACAAGCTTGAAAATAACACTATAAATAATGTTTTCGATTCTGGTTCCAATAACATTATCACGAAAAAGATATGTCCAAAGGGGCCGAAGTTATGTTCGGCAAAATGTATGGCTAGTTTACATTGTTTGTTGTATTATGAAATATGATACCATACTTGTATTAAAATTCGCATCGATCTAATGTTATTGTAAATGAGTAGACTTGCCACAAGTCGACCTCGAACGAAATGCGTTTCTTCGAGGTCGACTTGTGGCAAGTCTAGCAAATGAGAACCATACAAATGATACAATAATGGTTCTAGTTCTTGTTGGTATTTTGAACGCACGCTTTATCTTTCAGTATACTGTAGCTACCACAAATCTTTTCGTGGGGATTATATTTCGTGGAGTACTAAATATTATATTTTGTGGTTTTCGAGTCATTACACAAAGAAAAACACATTAATTCAACACGCAAGAAAGTCCAGAGTACGACACAATGTAAAATACATAGGAAACCGGCACAATTCTTTGAAAATTCAACGAAACTGTGTAAAATATAGTTTGATCACCCTGTGAAAAGCCGCCATTGCAGTTCGGAATTGTGCGCGTGCGTACAAGTGTATAGGCTATGTACCACAAGCATGGCATGAGTCGGCTAGTACGTACATAAATACGTAATTTGTTGCTATTGTATTTGAATCATGGAACGGAGGGAATCGATGGCATTTTAGCTTAATCGTTGCTATATGGTCTTTATTCTGTTTGTCTGACGTCGACTGTTGAATGTTCTGTAGTATGCCGAATAATATGATTATTTTATATTTCCAGCCAAATTTTCTACATCTGAACACTGTAATTTATTAACTATATATACCTAGACTGCCTTGCCATGGGCTTTGAATTTTCTTAAACATACTCAAGCAATCTATAATCGTATTTCTACTATTTACTAGCTCATTTGCGGAGTTAGACCTATACGTTTATATCTTGTTTATAGCTCCTAGTACAATCATAAGAAGCACTATATCTTTATTTATACTAGTTTGAGCACAATTTTTTTATACAATATCCGAGACAAGCGGTATACCCTTATTTTCCTGTTCTATTAGTATGAGTGAAAGGTGTTCTGTTTGTAATTTTACTTTTAAAAACAACTCTAGGAAAATTGCATGTGCAATTTGTCAATCTATGATTCACTTAAAGTGTACAAGATTTAATACTCAGGATTATAAATTGATTTCCTGTGATAATTCATGGTCTTGTGAGTCATGTTTATCCGAATTATTTCCTTTTAATCATATTATTGATGATGATGCTTTCCACTTTACCCTTCAAAATGCCTTCCATAACTCTGATATTAATCTAGATTATGATCGTCTTAACTCTAATTATTTCAATCCATTTCTTAGTGATTCCGATACGCGACATTTACTTAATAATTCTGATATTGATCCCAATTCAAATATTTTTCTGTTACACTCTCAAATACTGTCTAGCTGTGCCTATTATACCACTAGGGAATTTAATAATTTATTCACAAAAAAAACAAATTGTTTTTCCACACTCCACATGAATATTAGAAGTCTCAAAAAAAATTTTGATGATTTCATTGAATATTTATCTACCATCAATTTATCTTTTTCGGTCATTGCGTTATCAGAAACTTGGCTTAATGATTCTTCTAGTGATTCTTTTCATATCCCTGGGTATAACTTTGTTGCAAAATCCAGGAAACATAGGATAGGTGGCGGTGTTGGCATTTTTATTAAGTCTTCATTCACGTACAAATTTCGACCAGATCTTGAACTTGCATCGAATGAATTAACTGAATCAATATTCTTGGAAATCACTCAGTCCGATAATAAAAACATAATTATAGGCTGTATTTATAAACCTCCTAATGTTGAGGTTGAACAATTTAATGATTTTTTGACCTCAATAGTAACCAAAATTGGATATGAAAATAAAATATGTTACATTTTGGGAGATTTTAACATTGATTTGATTAATCACGAATCTCATCTACCCACGAAAGAATTTATTGATCTTCTTTCCGCAAACAGTCTTTATCCCACTATCTCCAAACCAACTAGAATTACATCCCACTCTGCCACCTTAATTGACAATATTTTTACGAATAATCTTGAGCATGATATTGTGAGTGGTATGTTATACAGTGATCTCACTGACCATCTTCCTGTTTTTCAGATTACTAATTTTCAACCTCAACAACATACGGTTCCTGTTAATATTAAAACTAGGAAAATAACCCAATCGAGTATTTTGAACTTTCAGAATGAACTGCAAGAAATAAACTGGGATGAAACAAGATTAAATACTTCACCTAATTACTCGTATAACTATTTTTCAGGAATACTTCTTCCAATTTATAATAATCATTTCCCAATAATTGTTAGAAATTCCAATTTTAAAGCCGGCTCTAAACCATGGTTCTCAGCTGGACTACATAATTCGTGTTGTAAAAAGAATACTTTATATAAAACTTATCTGAAAAATCCTACTCCTACTAATAAACTTGTTTACACAAAATATCGCAACAAATACAACTATACCGTTAAACTAGCTAGGAAAAAATATTTTCATGATAAACTTGAAATGCAGCAATCTAACCTAAAAGCGACTTGGTCTACTATTAAAACTGTTATTGGCAGTAAACCCAGAACTAACATTCCTACCAGTATGAAAGATTCTGCAGGTTGTGAATACACTGATCCATTTTGCATTGCAAATAAATTTAATGATTTTTTTGTTAATATTGGTCATTCTTTATCTAAAGGTTTTTCCAGTTCCAATAATCAACACCGTAATTATCTAACTCGATCATTCAATGGTAGTATTTCATTATTTCCTACTGACCCTTTCGAAATAACTACAATTGTTAACTCCCTGAAAAATAGCAGAAGTGAAGGGGTTGATGGTATTAACATATCCATAGTTAAAGCTTGTATTGATTTAATAGCATTACCTCTCTCAACTATCTTTAATAAATCAATTTCGACAGGTATTGTTCCTAATCAATTAAAAATTGCTAAAGTGATTCCGGTGTTTAAGGCTGACGATCGCTGTCAATTTATCAATTATAGACCGATCTCAATTCTACCATGTTTTTCTAAAATACTTGAAAAGTTACTTTATAATAGGTTTTTAAATTTTATTAATAAGAATAACATATTATTTGATCACCAATATGGATTTCGGAAAAATCATTCTACTTCTATGGCATAATTGATCTGGTTGACAACATTTCTCTAGCTTTCAACACTAGAGGTTATACAATTGGAACTTTTATTGACTTTAAAAAAGCATTTGATACTGTGGATCATTCTATTTTACTGGATAAGTTACATTTTTATGGTTTTCGTGGAATCGCTCACTCCTGGATTAAAAGTTACCTTGAAAATAGATCACAATGTGTCGAAATTGAAAATGTCTGCTCCACATATAAACCTATTAACTGTGGTGTACCTCAAGGCTCTATTCTTGGACCTCTCCTATTTCTTATATATGTTAATGATATATCACACTCTTCATCTCTCTTATCCTTCATACTCTTTGCTGATGATACCAACATATTCCTCAGCGGGAAAGATATTCCGTCAATGTTTTCCACTATAAATATTGAGCTTAATAATGTCTATAAATGGTGTAACGCGAATAAATTAACCATACACCCTGATAAGACAAAATACATGGTTTTCCATCCAAGTCGTAGGAAACCTGAACTAGATAATCTTAATGTTACTATTCATGGACATGACATCGAAAGAGTTCAACAAACAAAATTTCTCGGAATAACTCTTCACCAGAATTTGTCATGGACCGCACATATTAACGCCATCAACTCTAAAGTATCGAAAACAATAGGAATACTTTATAAAGCTAGACAGTACCTTGAGATATCGACCCTTCGCTTGCTATACAACTCTCTCATCTTGCCCTATTTACAATATTGTACTATTGTATGGGCATCAACTTATAAGACTCATTTAAACCGTTTATTTCTTTATCAAAAACGGGCTGTTCGTATTATATCTCATTCACCACCTCTAGCGCATTCTCGTCCTTTATTTAATCAAATGAAAATATTAAATATATTTGAAATATTTAGTTATCAAGTAAGTTGCTTCATCTTTCAACATAATAACAACCTCTTGCCACAACCTATTGCTTCACTTTTTACTGTAAACAGTGAAATGCATCATCACAATACTAGACAAAAACATAATCTCCATTTCACATTTAATAAATTATCATTTTCAATCAGATCCCAAGGTCCAAAAATTTGGAACTCAATTCCGTATACTCTTCGTAATTCGCTAAAATATTTTAATTATAAGCGTATTTTGAAGGATTACTACTTGTCTCAAGCTTATTAACTATATTAACCAACAACTGATATTCTTTGTTGTTTTATTCTCATTTGGCACTTTGATATTTTCTACCTAGTGTTTTGTATTTAATAATTGTTCACTTCCCTTCTAATTATTATTACTATAACTGTAATTATGTAATTAGAAAATTTGGCTGTCCATTTATATAGCCATATAAGCCTCTGGCTTTGGCTAACGTGTAATTTAATTATCATGAATAAAGATCATTATTATTATTATTCATTAAAAACTAATCTCCTTGCAAGGGCACAGACGTTTTCAAGTTACAAGCATCATAACACTGTTAAAGTGTTAATTAGAATTATTGTGAACACAAGGTACTGTACAATTTGCTTTGGCAGTGAAGCTTGGGGAGGGAGGAATTCAGATAAGTTTCTGACTGAGAACTGTGACTTACTGGACAACCTTATACCAGGTGATTGGTTCTGGCGGATAGGGGTTTCACTGTCCATGAAAGTGTTCAGTTTCACCAAGCCAAATTGAACATTCCAGCATTCACAAAAGGAACAGACAAGAATGATTGCTACTGTCCGGATACATGTCGAAAGAATTATTGGTTTACTGAGACCGAAATATACCATTCTTCAACAAACTTTGCCAACTGAATGAACTTATTACCTTATTTGCAGAAAATGAGAAGCTGTTCCTCTCATTGACAGAATGATTAAAGTTTGCTCTGCACTAGTAAACCTTTGCCTTCATACTATATACCTTTTGATTGAAGTAAAGTATTTTACAACATTTTGTTTTCACCAAGAAACAGAAACACATTCTTTCAACATTTGAAAATTTGGTGGTCAAGTCTGAGAACCTCCCCATGGTGACCACTGGGCAACAGCATGTTGTGTAAATCAGGGGTGGATTAGTAAGCTACTTTAATTGTACTTTGTCAAAAAGAGACCACTTTGCAGCTGAAAAGTAAAAAATCTACCCCTGTTTGTTTCACGACATGCTGGCTAATCTCAGCAATAATATTTCATGCAATTCTCATGGGGGCTTGTGATATGGGGAATAAATACATCAATATTTTAACTAGGCCTGTTTGAATACCATGAGCATTGAAACAATGTAAAAACCATGTCTGTTGAGACTGTATTATTGGTGGGGGTTAACTAATTGATTGGGACACCCAACGACTTGGGGTAGGCCAGGGCAATAAACTATTTTAGGGTCCCATAGATATGATTTGACAAAGCCATATTTTGTGTAAAGTGCTGAGATTAGCCAAAAGGTTGTGCAAAAGTTTGCAATCAGACAGGGGTAGATTAACACTTCAACAGACCAACATATGACATTGTACAAATAATATGCAAAATAAAATGTTGTCCAGTTAAACAATATAGGGGTCCTGGTGTGCTAATCCGCCCTGTGTTTACACAACATGCTGTTGCCCAGTGGTCACCATGTGGAGGTTCTCAGTCCTGACCACCAAAAATGTTTAATGTTTATCAAAGTCTTAAGTCTGTAATAATTTTCAAATGCAAAAAGTTTGTATCTTTGATAGAGTTTTATGTATAATAATTTTAACAGTTAGTTCAATAAAAATGCAAACTGAATATTGGTGTAAGCTTTTTTATTTTGTGCTCTCAGCCGTCGGAAAAAGAGTAATGAGACCAGCTTTCAGGCAAGCATACAAGTAAGTTCGCATCTGTATTAATACATGTACATTATAAAATCGTGGGATATTTGGATCCACCGATGACCGATCGATCCATTGTGTAAACAAGACTTGTCGCAAAAGCGATTGCAAATACACCACAATCTGAATCATTAGATATATGACTAATCATTTGAAATACACCACAATCTGTATTCGAGAGATTTTACATGTTCAGACAAAGGAATCTCGTGAACAATTACGTTTTCTGCCTCGCTGTTTACGTTTAGTTTCGAATCGCTGGCCGCCATGTTGGAACTTTACTCCACCAACATGGCGGCGTATAAAATTAATTTATGCTGTGACGTCATGTGAAAACACACTATAGAAGATCTTCTACATCTTTTATTGTCATCTAAACCACATTACTGTGTTGGTGTAGTGCACTCAGGTGAATAAGATGCTTGTGATGTTACTCTGAGTGTGTATCCACACCGGGTAAGCTTGAAAAATATGCCTGGCCACGATTTATTAATTAATAAATTCCCACTGACCTGTGTCAGTCTTAACATGACGGCGCAGAATAAGGTAAACATTGGAGGGTGAAAACCCTATGCGGCAATGATTCCAACCATGAATGGCTAAATGTTTGAATATTATGCGGATATTTCCAAGATTGTTCAAATCTGAACAAACATTTAGTCAAGATAGACATCTGTTGGAATATTGTCTGTATAATAATGGACAGTTGCCGTTCAAACTGATGTTATGGCACAGATGCCGGTCAATATGGTCAAGTCTACTTCCCAAGAAAAATGGAATCTTTTAAGATATATATGCCCCATTGCTACATTGTATGTGTCTGTATGTGATATTTTCTTATTGGCGATGTTTTTAGTCAAATTGACCTATACCGCAGATCGAATTTCAACTTAGAAAAACTGTCTTAAATTAACATTTTTAGTTCATGAAATATGACCTGTTTTGCACGGCTCCCCAGGAAGCCGGTAATATGTGCACTGCAACCATTTTTGTATTAAATTACTTGTAAACACCTCATTAGTGTATATCTGGGCGCTTTTTGACCGTAATTCATCTGGCGATCGAAGGACAAACAGTTATTTTCTCTTCAAATAAGGCAGTCCGCCATCTTGATTTGTGACATTTAGCGGTCAAAATAGTTTTTGCAAATTTTCGTGAGAACAAGAAGGAACCAGGGCTAAAGAAACCCATCACGTTTATTGGTTCACTGTGGACTATCTTTGGACAAAAAATGAGGATGGGTGATTTCTCGAACTTGTGCCACAATTTTTGAATTTTACCCAGTCTTTGCAGAAATTTTCTCTTAAGATGATTTACCATGGAATCCCCTGCAATAATAACATTATTTCTAGTGGAAATAGGCTTGTTAGCACACGGGAGATCATCATTTTGCTCTTGGCTGCTAGAGGTATTTGTTTGGGGTTTCGCTGTTTGTTTAGGCAACTCATTTTCTTCCACACAATCGCTTTTTGCCTCTCTTTCTGCCTTATGCCTTTTACGTTTCTTTTTGCTTTTTACGTTGCCCACCTCTGTCCATGCCGAGTCGCTTTCCATATCATTTTTCGTGTTCGCATTATGTTGTCTGTCTAGAGTATTGTTATTGTCTTGCTGTATTATTTTAATTGCCATAATTAAACTAGACTTCTCATTTTCAAGGTAGTTGATTTTCATTTGAAGCTCTTAAGAATCAAGATTTACTGTCGTAACAGTCGTTTCAGCATTAACAAAATAACTGCTTCGTAAGTGTTCTAAACACGTATAAAGTGTCAAAGTACATGTTATACTGCAGAAGATATTCAGAGCGTCTGACTGAGATAGCGTGATTGCCAAATTGCATTCTCGTTCGATTCAGGCTTTAATTATAGTTTCCATTTTTGTAGCACTCGTGAAAGTTCCTATCATTGGCCCAAAAAATTACAGCAGGAGCCTTACAAGAAGCAGCCAAACTACATAATGACACTGATTTGCTTCGTGAAATTGCAGGAAAAGTCTGTGTTGCAATTGAAGCACGGTATCATAAAAGTGCTATTTACAGTATACAAAGATTTTAACGTGCAAGAGCAAACATATTGGTGTGACAGTTTATGACAATGCGTTTGACATTTTTTTGCTGAAATTATTGAAGAAAGAATTGTTGGTAACAAGGAAATACTTCTCATCTATTTGCTGGTGGAATTCACATGCCACGAAGTAGAAGATCTTGCCTATGACTACAAGGAGGCATATACGAGAATACTCGCTCACACGAAGAGTGCGTCCATGATGGATGCACCCAGTTTCGTTGCCTCCAGCACCTGACTCCGTACTGGAGTGTAACTGTAAGTGCAAGATCGGTTCCATCAATAACCGTTCCTCTTGTAAAAAAGCTAACTTGAAATGTTCTGAGCTCTGTAACTGTAGTAATTGCCAAAATGGTGCCAATGGAGATGCAGGTTGTTTACCATTTACATGGAAAACCCATCCGGTTTGAAATTGTGCTAATGGTAAGCAAAATATCGGATAGAAAATCCCATTTGGATTATGCGCTTTCCGTTTGAGTGACTGACCGGAAGACACTGAAGTATTTAATAATTCCAAGATGGCGGCTCTATTGTTTGTAACTTTGGAAGAAGTTTTGGATAACTTTTATGAGGATACCTATATGCTTCTGAACAATGATGACAGAGATATCGATATTTTTGCTGCCGTGTCTGCTTTCATGAGGAGGAATCTTGAAAGAAATCAAGATTTTTATGAAGCAATCATACCATTGTATTCGCTGGATGAATTTAGATGTCATTTTCGCATGTCAAGAGGAACGGTTGAGCTTTTATGCAGAGAAATAGCAGGCACTAGACTAATTCCTCCAGGAAACCGCTTTGGAAGAGCAGCTATTCCCTTAGAAAAGCAAGTTTTGACATTTATTTGGTTCATATCTAACAAAGAAGTCATGCGATCCGTGTCAGACAGATTCAATGTGACACTTAGCAGTTTAGAAAGGATTTTATTCCGAGTGTCACGAGCATGTGTTGACCTGAAACAGCAGTATATCAAATGGCCAAGTGGTAAGTTATTTGAGGGGAAAATTTTTAGTTTTAATATGGTTTTAATGTGTATTGTGTAAAGTGATTTCAGAGTGTTATTTTTCAATAATTCTGATATAATTATGTACTATGTATGGTTGTACAATACAATGCTAGTGTTTTAACATTTTCGTAATTAAACAGGAAATGAGATGCATACAATAATGAACAATTTCACTAATCGAGGATTCCCAAGAATAATTGGTGTTATAGATGGAACCCACATAAGGATTAGAGCACCAACCAAGGATCCTGTTGCATATATCAACAGAAAGAAATTTCATTCACTCAATACCCAGGTAAGCTAGTGCAAGACTAAATTTTTTTTGGTCATGTTTAATCCATTAAGCTGCAGAGCTTCCACATTGACGAGTAAAACCATCTGGTGTTAGACAAGTAAAAAAAATAAGTAGGGCGCACTGGGGCACATTGTGGCTCAATGGGTTAACAAAAATTTACCAATTTTCAAGTTCTGTATTCTATTATTCTAATAAATTATTTTGTTTCCTCCAAGTATTTGTTGTCTCCTCAATAATGCAACACTTCATATAAATCCTGTTGCCTTAAAAGTGTTTTGAATATAATTATTATTAATTTTAAGGTTGTTTGTGATGACAATATGATTTTTCGTGATGTTCTTGTGGGATGGCCAGGTTCAGTGCACGACTCAAGAATACTAAGAAATTCTCATTATTTGCAACAGCTGCTACCAAGTTCCCAGGTGATACACATCTTATTGGTGATGGTGGATACCCATTGAAATGGTAATTCACTGATGAATCCTATGTAACAACACATCTAACAATAATATATCTTTGCATAGGCAATAATCCATAATGGCATATCTGTCCAATGCCCAATTATGAGTTTCTGTCCAACAACACTATCAAACAAAATCCACCAACAGGTTGTAAGGTTTATGAAGGTATAACTATTATCAACAAATATTGCAACAGATTTAATATTTCATGTTGGTGAATTGTATGCAATTAATTTTTTGTACAGTAATTTTTATCACTTGTATTTCAAGGTTTATGTGTTTTCACTCGTGTGTTAATTTTTAGTTGGCTGATCACACCATTCAGAAACAATGGATATCTCGATGATAGACAGAGGCAATTCAATTACAAGCTTTCATCAGTTAGATCAATAGTGGAGCGATCAATTCGATTTTTAAAGGGTTGCTGGTGAAAAATTGCATCTCTGGATCACATAGACATGGAGTTGTTGGTTCAACTAATAATGTGTGCATGTGTTTTGCACCATTTCTGTATTATTCATGATGATTTTGACAATGGCTACTTTTTAGATGACCACGATAAAATTGATGGTGATGAGGCAGGGGGACACCGGTATGCTGCACGTGACCCTAATAATATGGCAGCAGAAGCAAAACAACAAAGACTGATGAATCTTATTTGTTAGTCTTGTTAGACTATTATTGTGTTAACTAGTGAAAAGATACACTTCAACAATATATTTATTTATAAATTGTTATATACAAACATTCATAGTGTTCAAAATAAACGTTATACAATTTGACCATCAATATATTATAAATACTGTATTCTCTCAATTAATTAATAAAAAAATTCTTATTATTTATTAATAGTTCAATAATAAATATGCTCTCAACAATGATTTTAATTTAAAGTTGATGTAATATAAACACACAATTAACAAATTATATTAATTTATTAAAAATTAATTAAACAATTAAATGTCTTAACCTCAAACAGTCACTGTTTTTCCATGAAATCAAAAAAGCGATTATAAAACTGCTGCTTTTCCTCTTTTATTTCTCTCAATAGATAGTGTTAACTTTTCCTCTTCTGTTTTCTCTCGTTTCTCACTGTATTCTTGTAAGAAATTTAACATTTCAGCAGCAGAAGATCTGCTAGTGGGTCTTTTACGACACCTTCTCTTGCCTTTGGTAGGGGCAAGGGATGAACCATCTACAGTTGAAGAACTATCCAAGGCATCATCTAGGTTCTCGTTCAAAGAGTTCGAGACTTTCACATAAGGTTAATTATATTTAACAGATGGTAAAGATGATATAAAAAACTGCACACATTCATTCGTGGCAGTCTTGGCATGACTAATTCTGAGTTTATTGTGAACAATTAAAGCTTACATCGGAAATGCGTAGAAGCAAAAACGAGGCATATCAGAGAAAATGCCTATTATATTATACTATAATGACGTCATCATTTTGTAATGTTTTTAAAATCTGTGAAACAAATCGAATCCATTTGGTTTATTTCCTTTACCTTTCATCAACCATCATTTCATAATGATTTACTAATGATTTAGCTATTACCTCTAGAATGTTAGGCAGTAAGCAATGATTTTGCTGAGGTCAGCAAATTATAAATCGTCTACAACGGTGAAATGAAAGAGATTAGGAACGGGAACGGTTCAGATTCATACTTAGCGTAGTTGAAAGTGGTAAGTTATTATAAAATTATTTAGTTCCACAGGGTGCACTATGGTGGCCCATTAACGCCATAGCAGTTTTTACGAAATTATCAAGTTTTTTTAATAAAAAATATTTTAAAGTATTTTTTTATTTTTTAAACAAATTTCTTTATTATTTTATTTTAAATTATATTTTAGTAATTTTTTTTTATTATTTTTTTTTTTTATAATTTTGTTAATTTCTGTTTTTATTTGGTTTTACTTTTATTAAAAAAAAAACAAAACATACTCCATGGCCCATTGACGCCATAGCAATATTTTATAAATAAAAAAAAAATGCTCCATGGCTCATTGACGCCATAGCGATTGTCGTGGCCCAGAGATGCCATATGCCATAAGGCCTTTCGGGATTGGTTAAGAAGTTTATTTAGATCAAGTGGAAACACTGCATGCTCAAAATCTCGCACAGAATCGATCGAAAGATTTTGCCAAAATTTACATAAAATTTCACCGTTTTAAAATATCTTTGTGTTATGTCGAAGAGAAGACCTGTTTGGGATAACTACAAAGAGAAGGTAGCAAAGAAGAGAATGCGGAAAGGGGAAGAAAAAGGAGCAACTGGTCCAAAAGGTGGGCTGACTGTTCAGCATTTGTCGGCGAACGTGGAGGGCAAATGCCAAAAGTATTCGCGCATCAGGCCTTTGACATTAGTTCCCTGTGAGAAAGAACTGACAAATACGATCTGGAAAATATCAAAGCTGCGTGTAAGGTACACTTCAAAACGGAATTGGAATGTGATGTGCTTGCTGGAGAACATGGTCCTTCCTTTACCGAGTCAGGACAAATCCAGAACTGGAAAGTTTTGCATGTGCGCTTCGTGGAAATTCTCGAACACCCCACAAACGAAAAGTCTCGAACACAAACAGCAAGCAAACAGCCAAGACCCCAAAGCGAGCCAGCAACCGGAAACCCCCCCAAGAAGCTCTTTCCAACATCCGCATTCGAGGCAGACAACATCTGTCAGTGTCAGACCATCACCATCTGTTGTGCGTTCAGTATCACTAAGTCAGATGCTGAAATTGGGCAAAGTCATCGTCCCAGATATTGATGTGGTAACTCTTCGGCTTGAAGAGTTTTGCATCTCAAGAATGGAGTGGTTGGAACCTTTTGAGGTGTCACTTTTATTGGAAAGAAAACCACTTGCCAATGGGGCATTCCATGAAGCGTTTTTGGCAAAATCCATTGCAGGTGTGCCTAAAGGAAAGTATGTCCTTAAGAAATATTTGGAGGGAGAGAAAAAGGAATCGAGGCACTGTTTCAATCCATAGAACTCCATACACGAAAGTCGGTTCAATTAAATGCCTTACCTCGTAATTTTGCTCAAAGTATGGCTTCCGAGGTCCAAGCTTCAGAATTTGGAGAAACATTTATTTATGGTAAGGTCTACTATTCGTCTCTAAATGGTGAGCCTGTAACCTTAGAGAATCACCTAGACGGTGTTTTTGAGAAGTTTATCAATAACACTGGAGAGGTGTGTGAGACCTGAAGATGCTAGTGAACTAAGCCTTAAAGCTGAGACATTTGATCATTACACATTCCAGAAATCTAACCAACAACTTATGGTCACTGACATTCAAGGTGTTAATTATTCCTTATGTGACCCAGAAATTGCAACAGCTGAGCTGGCAGA